CAAAAAGTCACAAAATAGTCAAACGAAGGAAACCCTCTACCTGGCCGAGCTCCTCATTTAAGTTGGATGTCCGTGCCAAAGCAGGGGTATTGCTCTCAGCATGGTACATATGTAAATCATTGTTGATGAATTGAGTGGATTGGATAAATTTAATCATCTGAAATTAAAAAAACGGGAACTTACAGGTATAGAACAAACGCAGGAACATAAAAAATGAACAGAAAATCGTTGTGGAGTCTACCTCAACAGAAACATAAAGAGAAATGGGTATGATTGGTGAATAGAGAGTTATAAGGGTGAAATCACCCTTATATTTATTCATTATATTATTTTCGTCCGACATTGTATATATATATATATATATATGAAATCACATTTATACTTAAATGACTAGTAGTCCAATTAGTGGAGAATTCACTTTTACAACCCAAACATCAAGTGGCGAGTATGCATGCAAATATATGAGTTCAATCCCCACCATTGGTACTTTATTTTTAAGTCAACATATTTGACAATAATGACATAATGGTAAATTCATTGATAAAGTAAAGGTGGAATGGTAAATTCGACAAAAAAGTAACGCCGTCAGCACTAAAGTAACGGCGTTGACATCAAGTGGCGAGTATGCATGCAGATATTAAATATAAGAGGGTTTGACGCAATTTTTGAAATACCAGGAGAAAACGCGCAGATTTCATATAATACAGGGGGATTTGATGCAATAAACCCTGCACCTAAGTATTTGCGCGTTGGAGGGGGTTCAGTTTCCTCTACGTCCTATTTTTAATCCGCGTGAAAAAAAAATAGTAAAATTGATCCACCCCACGCGTTTATCGGCGTGTGAACAATCGGCGCGTATATAGGTGGGGAAAGTGTGGCCTACTACGGGAAGAAGGCGCGTGGACCACGGAGGCTGTGACGTCGTCGTTTTGATATTATTTTCAAACCCAACATTTGATTCTCAGATGATTGAAAAAACACTATTAGAAAAAAAAATATTTATAAATTATAAGTGCTAGCTTACATATACCTTTTAAAATGATTTTACTTACCCTATTATGTAGTACTATTTACCGCCCTTTTTACTAGTCACTGTCCCCTTGAACGATTTTTTCTTTTCATTTTTTCCAAACATCTCAGAGCAAAGTGTACAGTGAAATGTCGTCAAATTCTGAAGTATAATTTTGTCCGGCCGGCAAAATCGGACGGCTTTTAGCCTGTCCGGCCGCCGGAATCGGACGGTCCAAAAGGCGACCGGCCAGCCGGTTCGGATGGCATAAAAGTCATCCGAAAAGTTCGTCCGGTCAGACGGGCTATGTCCGAACCGGCCGGCCGAACGCCTTAAAAATCGTCCGGCGGCGACGGCCGGTCGAGATCGGTCCGTCCGGTTCGACCGGCCGGACGATTTTTTATTCTATTTTTTTTTAAATTATTATGTTATATATTCGAAATAATTATGTTATAAATTGGACGTTAGATATTTTCGTGTTAGGAGTTAGAAATGATTATGTTACATGTTAGACTTGATTATGCTATTAATTGGACGTTAGATATTATCGTGTTAGGAGTTAGAAATTATTATGTTACATGTTAGACTTGATTATGCTATAAATTGGACGTTAGATATTATCGTGTTACGAGTTACAAATTATTATATTACATGTTAGTCTTGGTTATATTATAAATTAGACGTTAAATAGTATCGTGTTACGAGTTACAAATTATTATGTTACATATTATAGTTGATTATGTCATACATTGGACGTTAGATATTATCGTGTTAGGAGTTACAAATTAGTGTGTTACATGTTAGACTTCATTATGCTATAAATTGGAAGTTAGATAATATCATGTTATGGGTTACAAATTATTATGTTACATGTTAGAATTAATTATCTTATACATTAGAATGAATAAATTATAATTTAACATGTTATAAAAATATAAATATTGTACTATATAGCAGAGTCATTGGAAGATTTTGGAGGAGATGGTATTGATTACAGTCTCAGTTTCGATACCAATACATTATTTAAGAGTGATAAGGAGGCTATTGAAGCTGCAAAACACCAGGCAATACTGAATGGTTTCCTATTAGTAATTTCGAAACACAAAAAGAAAACGGTCAAGCTTTTGAAGTGCCATAGAGGCGAACGCTACAGAGGCAAAGGCGAAAATTCCAGAAAGACAAAAACGAATAAGTGCAATTGCAGTTTTGAGATCAAAGTAAAAAAGATGTCCGACGAGCCATACTGGAGGATCTGTAGATGTAGCAAGGAAGAGAAGGGCTACCATAACCATACATTTGTTGTGTATCCTGAGGGTCATCGCCAGTTGAGCGGCCTCAGCGCTTCATCTAAGAATATTGTTCGTGATATGACGGACGCTCAGGTGGCCCCGACAAAAATTATGGCCGCGCTGAAGGAAAAGAATCCAGGAGACAACGTTCATGTGCGACAGGTATATATATTTATATCTTGTAATATATGTTTTAATTAACTTTTTTAAGTTAATTATGATAATTAGTAATTTTTTTATATCTAAAGGTTATTGTAATAATTAATTAATTTTATTATATTTACTAATGTATTATTATTATGATAGTTAATAATTTTTTTATCAAATAAATTAATTAATATACATTTTTATTTATTAATATAATAGTTTTTTGTTTTAAATTATAATAATCATTATAATTAACGCTAATCGATGACAAGTATATAACTAATTTAGAGATAAGATGCAGAAAGAGAGTTTCGAGGATAGAGACGTTCCTTCCCAGCTTATGCATTTGGCCATGAGCAGTGAGTATACAGTTTATGCAGAATCCGATCCGAACACGAAAGCGTTGACGTAATAACTATTAAAATAAATTATACAGCGAGTATACACTTTATACAGTTTATGTAATAACTATTGTAATAACTATTAAAATAAATTATAATTCATTTTTATTTCAATTTATTAATTTTATTATTATAATTTATAATTATTATTATAATTATTATTATTGTCATTTATAATCATTATTATAATTAATTATAATTATTATTACAAATTATTATTATTAATTATAATTATTATTATAACTTATTACAAATTATTATTATTTGTTATAATTATTATTATTATTAGCATTTATAATTTATAATTATTAATATTACTAATATTATTTTTACAATTTATAATTAATTACAATTTATTCAATTTATTATTATTATAATATTTAATTATTATAATTATTATAATTATTTCCTTATATTTATTATTATTATTATTATTATTATTATTATTTTAATTATAATTATTATTATTATTATGAAAAAAATAAAAAACTTGTCCGGCCGGTGGCAGGGACGGTCCGGTTTGGTCCGTCCGGCCCCCAATCTCGCCCCTCTTTTACGGCGTCCGGCCGCCGATCGCGCACGGAGTAAAAGTCGTGCGTCCAGTGGGGCCGGACGCCTTTTTGACTGTCCAGAACCGACGACCGGACGGCTGCCGCGCGTCCGGAGGCGATGGCCGGACGCCGGCACAGATTCAAAAAAGAAAAATTTGAAAAAATATTCACCGCGTAAAAAAAAAAAAATTACCTTGCTAGAGAAGTATGCTTTGTCGAGGCTGTAGGATTTTTTCGACATTTTATCGAATTTTTTTCGGTGCTCGAATCGCTCGTTGAAAGTTCGAAAATTTAGAGAGATAGAGAATTTAGAGAGATAGAGAGAAAAAAAAAAGGATTAAGGGCAAAAGAGTAAAAAGAAGGAACGATGACTAATAAAGGGAGCGGTAAATACTAAATAGTAAATGATAACATCTGTTATTATCGTGTTTTAAAATATTAAACAGTTCTAAAGTATAACATTTTTCAATAAAATATGTATATTTATAACAACAAATATGTCGGTTTAACAAAAGATTTACCATTTCTTTCCCGCTTCTAAGAACATATATATTGCAAAAACATATTACATGAATATTTCCAGTTCCACTTTACATAATTTTGCATTTATTGATTGTCATATCCTTTGATATATATGCAGTATTAATTTTAATGGCTCCATACAAATTATTTTATAAGTGACATTACAATGCTATGTGAGTATGTTCATAATTCATAAACATGAGTCTAATCACTTGGAAAGATTGCTGAGTGTAGGCAAGATTAAGAGCTTCTTTTATCACTGCACCAATATTTTTTGTTACACTCCAAACAAATGCAAGTACCATATAAAAGCACATATACGTAGGTAATCTATTCATTATATCATAGACATCATTAATATTCCGTGAAATCTTTCACGAGCGATCCATGGCCGGGACGAAGTTCGAAACAAAACTTGACACCATGCACTTTCCGCATTGTTTTGAGGTTATTTTGACTTATAATAAGAAAAAACCGAAAAATAATCCGACTCAGAGGAAGTATTACATATTATACCGAAGTTGATTATGGCACGTGTTTTNTTACTCTACTCTTTTTTCACGCCATCCTTTCAAAGCTTCCACCGATCTGCATGTGTAGCCAGTCCGGAGAGGAGCCCCTGTCATATTCCCGTGCGGTTTGGGAACCGAACGCTATGTCGGGAGCCTCAAAAGGTTGCTTGAGAACGAAGAGAAAAAAATGTGAAAACCTAAATATTAATAGTGGATTTGAGATAACCTAAGATATGAACAAATTTCAGGCAGTTGAGGAAGATTAAAGATAAATTTGTATTTTTAGTCATGTTGGTTTAACGCCATAGTATTTTTAATCTCAAGATTTTAACATGTTGCCTTTTTTGGTCTCGTGATTTAATATTTTGTTGCAATTTCAGTCATTTGATTACTGAAATTGCAACAAATTCCCAAAAATATAAATTTATTATTAGCAATTTAAGTCATATAATTTAAAATTTTGTTGCAATTTAAGTCCTGTAATTTCAGTCATTTGATTGCAGCAAAATATTAAATTGTATGACCAAAAGGCGAAAAGTTGAAACTTTAGAACTAAAATTGCTATGAGCGTTAAATCAAGAGGACTAAAAATGCATTTTAACCAATGTCTCGATCTTACATCTTTCCAAAGATATCCATCCATTGTCCCTCTTGCGTTTACTGCTTCAAGCTTCATCGATAAAAACTTCGACAAACGACGATTGTGATTAGTGCATATTTTTCACTTACATTGGCACACACACACACACATGAAGAGAGATATATAATATACCTCAACTTGCCGCTGTAAAGATTGAATGTAATTAATAATCTCATCGAGCACAAGAGCTTTGCCGATAACCTGAGATGGAAAAACACGTAATGCAAGATGTAGTAAACGAATCTACATCGACAAACAAACAACAAAACAATTATTTGATTTGGCGAAACTCCTAATATACTCGTCCCCATCCAATGTCAATTCTCATTCGAAATTGCCAAAGCAGATATCTCATAAAAGGATTGGGCAACATTGAATTCCACATTGCCATGCAAGGTGATCGATTTCATTTCCAATTATAAAAAAAATATCAATTTTAATTTTTGAACAACGAAAAAATAATATGAACTCTCCAAGGAATATGAATTTCCACGAAACAACAATGCCGATGCTCACTTTATTACAACTAGGGACTAAATCTTGGAGAATCTTCATCCTTTCACTAATCTTTTCTCTGCGAGCCTGAAAGAAGAAATCGATAGAGAAAAAAAGGAAAAAAAAAAAAAAAAAAGATCACTTAGGAAAACCTTTCATTTACAGCCAAGACTTGGCTCAAATAGAATTAAGGCCTTGTAATTACTCGTTCGGCTAAACTGTGGCTATCGGTAGCCTGACCTCTTCTGGCCCGAACATGAATATAGTCTTGCTTAGGTTGTTCCGCTGGTTTCGAAGTTTGCTTCGCATTCTTGTCTGATTCTTTTTTGTTTTCTGTATTATTTTTGATTGATTCCATAGCCTTCGCCTTTTTACCATCATTTCCATTCTACACCAAACCAAAATTCATTACCACACACTCAAAGCGAAAAAAATTATGACAAAAAATGGAGATTATCTAACTTTGTTATTTAACTAAAATATTTAATAAATTAAACAATTGGATGACCAAAATATATAAATAACAAACCAAAACATTTGTAAATAAATATAAATATAGTATATTTCCAACATAGGAGGAATATAAATTCATGTTTTGTATGGAAATTATTGTTTTACACTAATTAAATATGGCTTCTCAGATCTATGATGATGTAGAACAACATATGAAGTCAAATTCCGCATATACTTCAAGTTGTCAAATATTTATATTTAATGAATAAATAAATGAGTATCAAATAAATAGAAATAAATAATAACACTAGAATGGAATCTAATCACTATTAGCAAATAGCATAAATAAATAAGAGATCCAAAAAAATTGGCATGACATACCATTTACTTTATTCTTATTTCTATTTATTATATCATTTTCCTATTCTCTTCGATTACCTTTGTTTGTGAGAAATTAACATCATGTCGGATCTTTAAGATGGTGTACTCGTTTGGGATTCAATTGACATTTTAATTTTTTTTATTTGATAATTTTAAGATATTTTTTATTTAACTTGAATGATTGAATCCCAGTGAGATTTGGTATAAAATTTTATATGTATTTAATTTTTAAAATATCATTAAACCTTAAAAAGTCGCACAATTCTCAGTGATGAATAAATTGACAAAAATTGTTGTTGCTGCGTAACTCTGTTATTGTTGGACAATCATATTTTATTGCAAGAAATACATACTTAATTTATGAATGGATACTTTTGTTTATATCATGTTATAAAAATAAAACATTGAAGCGTGAAAGTATGTACATAAATCCAAATGTTATGATTGTCTGATCAATACACAGTCTAGCACAATACCTAATGATGAATTAAACCAGTATGCAATCTTGTGCACATACATAAATGCAAATCTTTATATATTATATATGTGTGTATGTCATATTTAAAATTATAATTTAGATAATTAGTATATCAAAATTTATTGTTTATCACTATTAAAAATGAACGATATAAATATAAACTATTTAACTCTTTGAGCACATCACTGATTATAATTTAGATGATGAGCATATCACTAATTTATTAATTTTGTGTTTTGTGTGTAATAAAATATTATTGTATAATTATTTACACCTTATCATAACATAAAAGAAAAATCTGAAAGTTTAAAAACTGAATTTTTATTAAATTAAATTGATTTAATTAAATTTGCTAATATATGATTTCAAACTAATAATTAAATATAAAATAAAATAGAATATAGTTAAGTGTGTGAGAAAATGCAAATGACCAAAATTATATAAGAATATTAGAAAGTACAATACATATAAAATTGAATAATATTGATTGTAACATTTAGATAAAAGTGAAATAAAGTGAAGAAAAACACAATATTAATGATAGATTTTTATAACTTCTTTTGGAGGAAAAACAAAAGAGGTTTTATTAATTGCTTTGTTAGCAATTATATATATAGACTAGTATTTGATTTTCTGCATTTACACAAATATAAAACACGTTTTTGTTTGTATTTATTAATTAGACATGTACTTCTATCATATAAAAATTATTACTTTTTCTTAAGTTATCTTTATCATTCAAAATTAATTGAGATTTAAATTTTATTTTAACCATGCAACATTTACATTAGTAACATGAATAAAACAATTTATATGTTTGTGACATATATTAAGAAAATTAACATAAATAAAAAAAATTATTGGTGTTTCTGATTTTTAAAAAAAAAATATGTGTCAATCATATTTTTCTTCCAACAATGCAACTAAGTATAGCGCTTACAGCTCTGAATGTGCCAATCAACTTTAGGTTCTAACATTAGCCATTACACATTTGAATATTTTGCTACCAAATTTAGAACTAATTTAGTAACTGATCCAAAAATATACATATATATATATATATATATAATATTTTGCTACCAAATTTAGAACTAATTTAGTAACTGATCCAAAAATATACATATATATATATATTAAGGTGTAACGAATTTAGCAGATTAGTGAGTAATTAATTAAAAAAAGAAAAATAAAAATAGGTTTATTAAATGCATCAGCTAGTAATTATATATATATATATATACCTAGCTACATTTTGAAAATTTAAAATTATCAGTTATTATTAATAAATCTCAAAAAGTTTTTAAGAAATTCAGGATAAATACAATTTAGTTTTAATTTCCATTTTCAAGATTGGTATACTTTTATCATTTAATGTTATGGTTCATGGAAANCTCATCACCTTCCTCCTTCATTTTCCTCGACCCGCTACCGTCCGGGTTATGACCCGAACCGTGATCCGTCAGCATCGGATCCAGGCCCAGCCCATACGCCGCCGCATTGCCGCTCATCTGAAACTCCGGCCAGATCTCCGCATACCCGTAAACCCCTCCGCCGCCGCAGCCGCCCATCATCGCCGCCACCTGGTGATCCATTTCCGACCCGAAATCAGCGACCCGGTCCAAATCAGCTGTGTGCGCGCGCAATAGCTTTGGGCGTGTACTATGCCCGCCGGCGCACAATAGCTCCGGCCAGCAATTGGATCTTTCACTCTCTAGAGAGAGAAAGAGAGACCTCGGGAAGTGAGTGACTTCTGAGTGAGCTTTTCTCGGAGTGTACTGCGTTTCGTGATGATTAATTATACTGTGCGGGTGGATCACAAACACCGACTAATTTTTATTTTTTATTTATTTTTGTTTATTATCTATTTATTTTCAAAATATTTTGTTGAGAGAGACAGGGATAAGGCGTATAATATAAGCTGGTCAATGTTTGTATAGCTGTTTGAAATTTTTTTTTTTTTAACTTCTAAATTAGGGTGAGAATCATTTCAAAAAACAACATTAATTAATTATGGTTTGTTTTGGATGTTATTGAATTGATATAAATAGTTGCGCGGTTTAATATTAAAATGATGTGAATAAATAATAATTTAATAGAAAAATATTTTTAAAAACATCTATTGATATAATGTAGACTATATTTTTTATTAATCCAGTAAATATACTTCCACAAGTATAACATTAATATAGTATTAATAGTGGATAAGTTGTGGTCATTATCACCAACAGTAATAACAATAGACAACATAGATTCGTGACTATAGAAACAATAACAACGTATAATTGTTGTAACTAAAAAATACAATATATTTGTTTTTCTTAAAATTTTAAAAATTAAATTCATAAGCTTACAAAAAAAATGTGATATACTATGAAAAAATTATTTGTCACATTAATGACACTCCTTCAGAACTTTTCATAAAAAAATCTACATGATAACATAATTCCATAGGTACAAAAAAATAAAGCCATAATTACTATTCTACAAATAAAGTAATATATTAATAATTAAAGTTAACATGTACGAAGATGAGTAAATTAAAATTTATAAATATAAATTAGATACTTAAGAAAAAAATAAAAATGACTTCTATCCGCATGTATTTAATTTTAAATCAGGTCCACATATTTTTTACTTTTGTATTAACAAAATAAATATCAACATTTCAATTTTTGGCAAAATAAGTGCGATGGTGATTAGAGAATGACGTGGAAGATTGATCATTTTTCGTAAAGTTATAAATAGACCGAGTAATTGCCAAATCAATGGGAATTACAATTCAATGTAATTTTTAGAAATGCACATTGACAAAATTTTTGTAAAATAATAAGAAAAATACATTTAAATTATATTATATAATCCTAAAAAAACATTCTTGTGAAATTATCATTGTGATAGATGATAAGGAAAAAGTAGTTAATGCATTATAATTAGTTCTGTTTAACTTTATCTACTACAATATTCTGTTGCGATAATATGCTTCTATCCAGAAAAATTAAACGATAACTGACACATTATGTTATTTTTATTTATAAACAGCATAATTGTGTATTTATTAAAAAAAAATAAGGGAGTTCAATTTTCACCAACTTTTACATAACCTCAAATTTAAGCTCAAATAAAATAAATGAAACAAATAATTATTGGATCAAAATATTCAATCAATAGGATCATAGTCAAAACTACATTATCACTTTCTTTCTGTTATCATTTTCTAAATTTTTTCATTTCACAATATACTTATATTGCTTACCCATAAATGAAACTAAATTAGATGCTATGACTAAACACTAAATCAATTACTTTTATGTTGTATACAAACTATGAAAATAAATGTTCACCTCATTGTACAAAATACAAATTTATGTCTATACTAATCAATTATTTTTATGTTGTACACAAACTATGAAAATAAATGTTCACCTCATTGTACAAAATACAAATTAATGTTTATACATATTGAATTATTTTTTATTATATAATTTAAAGTTGTAATTTTTATTTTCATAATATTATATTAAGAAAAATAATCAAGATGATCATCGTCAATGTTAGATCAATAACTAAAACTTAGTTTTCATGAAATTTAAGATAATTGTAATCAACTTATTATTTAGAAATACAAAATTATTTCTAAATATCAATAATAAAAAAATTAATAATAATAATAATAATAATATATAATTCTAAAACTAAAAAGTAAAACTGACAATTTTGATATATGATGAAGAAAAAATAGTTTTTGCATTCGTAGTAAGTTGTAGGACTTTATATGTCGCAATGTTTCGATAAAGATTATACATTATCGTCATTCTTAAGAAAATAATATACGATATACAAATAAAACATTAACAATGAAATTAACTTGTTATGCATCAGAAATTATAGTTGTATACTTTTGGACCAATAAAAAAAATTATGAAGGCGAAAACTTTATGCGCGGATGTGTTTAAGTGGACTATTCAATATTTTCATAAATAAAACAAATTATACCAACTAAAAATAATAAAATACCAAAAATATCATGAAACAATATAATATATAGTTGAAAATTCATTGAAGAAATGAACGTTATATATGCATTTTTCTTTTAGCCTTCACAATCAAATCCATGAGTTGTCTCTTTGAAATGATGTCATATCTCTTTTTTTGTACGCTATCATTTGTGGATTTTGTTTTCTTTTTACAATATCAGTTATGAAATATTAGTCTATTGTTTATCTATAAAATACAGTCAATTTCATGACATTTTTGAATTTTAAGATGTCTTATTTTTCTTTTCTTTTGTTTTCCTTGTTTTAATATTCATGGTTTATTAGTAAAAGAAACTTCAATCCATATAGTTCTTGAAGTTTATTTTACCCAAGTAAAGTCTATTCAACATTTTCGAGATCTATTTTATATGGATTTAAAGGATCATCGATCATCCCCAAAAACTATAGATGATATTTAAAAAAAAATATATATATATATATATATATATATATATACATTTTTTTAGTTGAACAAATTGTATTATTTATGATAAATATAACTTCATTATTTTTTACCTCTCTCTATTTGTATTGCATTTGTTATTTAAAAAAATATATTATAAAATAAAATAAACAAAAGTATGAAATTTAGAAGTCTAAGTTCGCATTTTTGTTAAATAATAATGATACATTGACTTGACTAAACCTTGTTCCAGCTCAGATAAGAGTTTGTGAATGATTAGACATTTTAAATTTAAATTAAAAGATATTGTTTAGGAATGAGGCACTCAATAAAAATAATTTAATGGTTACTTTTAATTTCTTAGAATTACATAGAGATATAAAATAATATAATATTAGATTAATAAGAGATGATTACATATTTTATTAACGTGTACGAAATTCCATCATATTAGAATATATGTGTCAAACGTGACATGGTGCTATTATTAGATATTTATATGTAAACATTGAACATGTGTATGTTAAAATAAACGACATAGAATTTTAAATTGACATATCGAATCTAAAAGTTTATCTATATATATATATGCAATATAGATACGGAATTAAGAACTATACAAATATTTATTTATTATATTACATGCAGATATTGTATTAATTATGATTTTTTTTTATTTTACCTTAAAATATTTCGAATATAACCGAAAAAATTGATATTGTGTTTAATGTTCAAAAATAAAAAAAAAATATATATATATATATATATAAATAAATGATTTTAAATAAAAAATTTACTTTAAAAATTATTTTAATGATTAATTAAATGAGATTGATACTTTATTTTTATGAGAAAAAAATATAATATATAAGGAAAGGAACACATACTCACAAATGGGAAGAGAGACAAATAGTAAGTGGGATATTGGAATGAGAATTCATAATATATAATTATGTATAGTATTAAATATTATTTGTAACAAATAATTATATCACTCACAATGCATAAAAATATTTAATGAAAATTTATACAATAATTGATTATGACTAAATAAGTATTTATTTGTAACAAATAATTATGATATTGTTTGAATGGTAAATAATACATAGAAATTAACAAAATTTATTTCATGGTCATATAAGTAGTTGAAACATTTATTTAGTCAAGAGAAATTGGAGTGCAAATTCCAATACAATTATGAATACAAATTAATTATTCATACTAGTATTCGACCTGTGCATTTGCACAGATATAAATAAATTATTGTGAGTCTGTATGCATATAATGATTAATTATTTTTCTTTCACTTTTTTGTAGACCAAATTTACAATTAAAAGAGTTGGAATATTTTTTTTTTAAATTGTGTTTATCTGATTGGATGTAATGTATATTTTGGAACGTCTTTTATTTGTGAATTATTTATTATTTATTTAGGAATTTCAAATATTTTTTTTATGTTCAAAAAAAAAAATGTAACAACAATAATAACATCTAATCACATTATACGGTCAACACATTATATGGTCAACTGTCATTAATCAAAAGTTTAAAATGATTTTTCTAATTTTGAAGTGATGAGTATTAATTATTTAATGATTAAATGAAAGATTAAATACATCAAAATGTAACGGTTTTTGGAGGAAAAATTGTTAAATTGCCACATAGGTAAAATTAAATAGGTTTTATTAAATGTTATTAGCTAGTAATTATATATATATAGATGTAACCAAAAAATTTGTTCGTGGTTTTTTCCTAAATGTTTGAATTTAAAAATCTAGTAACCAAATTTACATTATATCACGTAAGGAAAAAAATAAATAATAAATATTTATTAAAGAGATAAATCAATGATATTTATCACTTAGATAATAAATAATAAATATTTACATGTAAAAAAATAAATAATAATATATTTAAAAATATAAGTCAGAATTTCAAATAAAGTAAAAGGAGGGATAACTCATTTTTTAAAAAAAGTTTCTAAATATTTGATATATTGATAAGTATCTCCATAAGAATAATCATACCATTTTGATTTTAAAAAAATTGACAAGTTTGTTAGAGAGATAAATCCGGTTAGACAAATGATTAATTTGTTAAGATATTATATTAATTGTATCATAAAAAATCGGTTAGATAATGTAGATAAAAAAATATAATACTAATTAGTTTGTTAGAAATGTGATAATGAAAACCAAGATAAAATGAAATTTACCCCAAAAAATTGTTTGGAATCTTTTCCTTTAAATGTTTGAATTTACAAATTTAATACCGAAATTCTATTATATCACATAAGGAAAAAATAAATAATAAACGTTTATTAATATATTAAAATATGTAATTTTGAATTTCATATAAAATTTATTTTTAAAATAAAAGTTATGATAAA